CAGTCAAAATCAATAATTCTAAACTTCTCCGCGTCTATAACTTTAAATAATACTAGTTTCAATAATAGAGCTCCTCTACTTTAAATATACTGCTGTTCTAATCTCCTTGTGTCTCATGCTAAAGCAAGAGTCTAATTAATTTTAACGATTGTCCTGTATTCTTTCATGCAGCTAAATGTGGTGTTATGAACGAATGACCTAGCTAAATGTGTAAATATGACTTAATATGTCTCTGTGCGTTTGTTTGTCTGTATATATTTACCTTCTGTCTGTCTCATTTAGCCTGGCCACGTCCTCTTATGGCGTCTTTCAATGTCTTTTGTCTCAAAGTGTCCGATGTCTTTGCCTCAATGCCTTTTTTCCTTCTTCTTTAAACAATCACTTTCTTTCTTCTTCTTTCAATAACTTTCTTCTCCTTGCAATGTCTTTTTCTTTTCAATCATTTTCTTCTTGTTAGGTTTTCCGGCGGTTGGCGGCCTATTTTTCGCATTACCGCCACCTTCTGTTCCGTAGATGGGACAACACTCAGTTTGTGAACAAGTCTGCGGTCTTTTCTTTGCCTCCTCACAGGCAGGAGGAGTCTTCTTCGAGAGTTCCTGTTAGCTGCTGCAGCCGACGCTGCCCCCTGCGACCCGCAGGGAGAGGGGGAGACGCTGATGATGATGCTCGGTTGTGGTTTGTGGCAGAGACGATTTTTGGCCAAATGAAACAGACAGAAGTTTTCTCGGAAAAAACAGACAAACAAGAAGCACAAACAAGTGTGTTAATTACCATACGAAACCAATGATTAATTACAATTCAAAATAAACCTATAAAATAATTAATATTAACATTTTAAACATTAAATTCTGAAAACCAATTCTGCAAACTTGTCTAGACGCCTTGGAGATAAAAAATAAAAAATAAATAATGCCTCTTTATAATCTAACTCAAAGTTCTGTGATCCTATGACTCCATGTCAGTAACATTATCGTGTGTATATATGTAATTTTCTACAAAAAATTCTTTCTTCACGAGAGAGAGAGAAAGACAGAGAGAGAGAGAGAGAGAGAGAGAGAGGAGGAAGGGGAGAGAGAGAGGACAGAACGAGGGAGGGGAGGGGCCGAGTGGCTTGTATGCCTCAAGCATTTTTCAGAGAGGGAGCCAGGAGGGAGAAGGAGGGGCTGTGTGGTTTCTCAAACAGAGGAGTACATGTACGACTGAAATACACCAAATTCATGAACATCCCCTTTAAAATTTGCTACATTTTCCTCGTTTTTTATCGTGACAATGTTTTATCAGTGGTGAGAGTTCTCTCACGTCAAACGACACTTTACATTTATTTAAATACGTCAGTAATGGAAAACATTACAATTTGCTACCTGATTAATGTATCGAGGGTTCCAGCAGAATCTTTTTTTTTCCTGATTCTCTGTAACTATCGAAACATTACATCAGAATACAAGAGAAAAACTCCCAGACTGATCTTTTGTCATTTCTTCACATGAAAACTCATAGTTACAGCCAAGTGGCTCCCTTTTTTCTCATTAATCAGATCATTATTATCAGAATCCACATTTTAAATACTTGGCTTTTTTCTGTTTAAATGTACCCTTTTTTTCCCGCCCCCCGGGGGATATGGAGTTTTTATTATCCTATCACTTCTGACCCTAACTATCCCTATTTCTCTAATTCTATTCCTATTTTTCACTAATATGCTTGTGCCTCTCTGCACGAAGGTGTGCCTCTTTTGCACTTCTACCCTGTGGCTCTTTTCCTGTATATTCTTTTTTAGAGGGGACCTATGCTTCCCTCAAGGTTCAAAAACGTCGAAAAACCTGACTATTGTTCTATCGCGTCCGATAGAACGCCCCGTCACGGCGGTCGTCTGGCCACGCTGCAATCTGTCGAGCCAAAATCTCTCTCTCTTCTATTTAAAACAATGTGCAGATTTCCAAAACTGTGATCCGCTTACCTTAGAAGCGACCTTTTTGAAGAGCAGAGAGATTTTTCCAAACCCACAAATCCAGTCTCTATAACTGAGCTCATCTCTGTCCCGCTCCTGCCCCGATCACGTCGGGGTCACCAAAATGAAGTCAATAATTCCCTTTGACTGACGTATCCAAAGTCGATGCAAGAGCGAGACAAGAGATCTTCACGTTTAACATCTGCATTTAATTATCTTTACAATCAGATACAGAATATTCAACAAAAAAAGTGCTCCTAAACTAATATGTCCCTCTCCTGGCCCTCGGCTGACTGACTGCCAATCTCCTCCCAGCAGTTTCTATCAAAGGGTCCGATGACGTCACAGATCTGGGACTGGTCTGGCCCCTGGTCCTGGTCTGGACCCGGTCTTCCATCTCCACCTGAGCAAACAATGCCCCCCACCACTGGGCGCCTGATTGTGTTGGACTTTTGCCCTCGTCGAGAGTGGGAGAGAGCATTTGTTTATTCTTGGAGTCAATAATTGTCTGGCTTTTGTAAGCTGGTCCTCCTTTATGATTCTCGTACTTCTTGTGTCCTTGGGGTTTTTCCTGAGTGCACAGAGGTCTTTTTTTGGCTATGATGTTCAAATGGTCAAATATTGTCACATCTGAATAGTGTAGATTTAAAATATACAACAGTACAGAGAGAGAGAGAGAGAGAGAGAGGGAGAGGGTACACAGAGAGAGAGAGAGATAGAGAGAGGGAGAGAGTACACAGAGAGAGAGAGGGAGAGGGTACACAGAGAGAGAAAGAGAGAGAGAGAGAGACCAAGGAGAGGGCACAGAGAGAGAGAGAGAGAGAGAGAGACCAAGGAGAGGGTACAGAGAGAGAGAGAGAGGGAGAGGGTACAGAGAGAGAGAGAGAGGGAGAGGGTACACAGAGAGAGAGAGAGATAGAGAGAGGGAGAGAGTACACAGAGAGAGAGAGGGAGAGAGTACACAGAGAGAGAGAGGGAGAGAGTACACAGAGAGAGAGAGGGAGAGAGTACACAGAGAGAGAGAGGGAGAGAGTACACAGAGAGAGAGAGGGAGAGGGTACACAGAGAGAGAGAGAGAGACGCGCAATTGGCCTGTGGGCCTTAGTTTTGACATGTCTGGTCTATATCAAAACAAATACATTTACATTAACGAGTATATATATTGAGATATATTGTTTCATGCAATAACAAAACATAACGCGAGCATATGGCCTTTTGGACAGTTGTAAAACATCTCCATTAATAACAATAATTGATGCGTGTGTTTGGTTTTTGGTTGTCATTTAATGCAGTGTCAGTCAGTTGTTTCCACTGCCACATGATATTATAAAAGAGGAAAGGTCTCCCTCGTGTGTCACTTAATGATTATTACAACTCCAGCGTTCTCCACCATTTCTTGTAAACCAACCTTGTAAGCAAATCTGAGGCCTTCTATTGGTCCAAACAAGCGTAAATCACCCAGATACGCATTCTGATTGGCTGTTTTCAACCCCAACAACAAGCAAGTCTCATGAAGGATTTACGGTACTTAGCTTTAGCTGTATGGATTTGTACGGCGTGAATTGGACAATCAACAGGTCAGTTATTAAGTTTGCGCATTAAAAAAATGATGTCACAGCCAGTGTATAGTGCGTTTGTAGAAACAGTCAACACAATGCGCGCTGGGTTTCAGATTGCTTTCGGCTAACGTTAACTGAAGTTAGCTCGCCTTCATTCTTTGCTAATTAGCGCCGATGTACAGTTGGCAAGACATGAGTTCGCATTAAATCACCCTGGCGCATATAGTTTCTCACATTTGTCATCTCCAGACATTAAATACGAGCTTTAAATGTACTTTTGAATGTGGCGGTCTGTGTGATTTGTGAAGTGACGCCGTGGGAGGCGCAGCGTGCAGCCAACTTTACGTCCTGTTACTAGGCAACCCCACATGGCGCGTGAGGGGCGTGTGCCCGTTATCACTTGTTTATTTCTGTTACGACAACATTATTACACTTTTAATTGATTTTGCATGTTATTGTTTTTTATTTAATCTACCCAACACAATTTCGCATATGGAATATCGTTATGATGTGCTGGTAGGTACGTTGCTATGGAAACGGCTATATACGTGTCACGAGCGTACAGCTGTCGTGAAGCTACTAGCAACACCTGACCAGGTTGGAGACATTTGCAGGGTTTTAGTGCCTCGCTGATTCTTTTAATAAAGCAGAAACCTCAGGACAACATCGTTTACCACACGCCCAGGTGCACGGTGTCTTCGTAGCTCAGAAGTCCTGGTTTTACCCGGATCAGAGGTGACCTTAGCATCATAGACAAGTGCTTATAGACGGTAAATGTGAACCGTTATCAAACATTCTGATATTTGTGTTTTGCTCACTATAATTGTGCCGTGTCATGGTTATGGGTCTTCTCATGGCTAATCCGGTTTACTGTTCAGTGAGAGCTGCTGAGCCTGAAGTGTGATCTCATCTGTAAATAGTAAATACTCCAATCATGTGCAATGCGCAATACTGTAATTTCAAAATGTCCACTGAATGTCACTTTATCTACTATGTATCCTGCCAAATATGTATACAATTTACACTATACATCTACACACATTCTAGCTAGCTGTTACTTATATATATATATATATATATATATATATATATATATATATATGTGTGTGTGTTCCTTGTGTGCTCTTACTCCTGTATGTGCACTGCAACCTAGATATAGCTAGATAGATAGATACTACGTCCCGTAGGTGTCCAGCAGCAGAAAACCCATCCATATAAATACATACTGTAAGTACATAGATTATAAATATTTCTAACTAACTAAAATGTCTAACTAACTACCTAACAATGGTTCATATTTTAAACTCACACAGGTCTGTGGTACAGTCTGACAGCCAAAGGAACAAATATCAACATTTCCCCACTATGGGAGGAATTATGGTTTAAGGTTCTTTTATCTTATCTTAATCCGGTTTACTGTACACCTCTTGTTGCAGGTAGAAGAGCTGTCATCCCTCCGCTTCCAATGAATGGCAGGTCGTGACGCCGAGAAGGTGATGTCGAGTAAATTGAAGAAGATATTCAACTTTGCCAAGAGAAAGAAATCCTCCACCGGCACCCCCGACAATGGCAGCGTGCTCTCTGTGGGCTACGAGTTGAAAGACAAGGACTTGGGGAAGGTGCACAAGGCGGCGTCAGTGGGAGATTTGGCCAAGTTAAAACAGTTAGCATCCAAACAGAAGAATGACATCAATCAGCTGGATAAAGAGAACAGGTATCAGTGTCATAACCCGAACCCATGTGTCGTAGGTTACTACAATAGCTCTGGTACGGTTCAAAAGTTAAATGAAAAAGTTCACTGAGAGTCTGATGTTTTATTGGTGTTGGACTCGAGAGTTGAACTGGAGAGAAGTTCGACTGTGCCAAGTGTGAAAACTACCAGCTCAGTATTTGACACCTGTCTTTTTGCGTCCTTATGTTGCACGGTCAGATCTAGTTACCGCACACAGTTGACCATTGTCTGAAGTAAGTGGCAGGCTTATAGAAGACATGCGTTGTAAACCAGGATTAATAATTTTAATATTCATAAGATAAGATAAGATAAACCTTTATTCATTATTTATCTCAATGTCAATACAAAAAAAAAACAGAAAGTCACAAACTAGGAATTTGCTTTGGCTCAAGGGGCAATCAAGTTGTAAGAGTAAAAAGGTAGAGGCTTGCATAAAAAAATGTCATAAACATTTTTTAAAATGACTACATACAAGTGCACTAAGTACACACAGTAGACATTTAGCAGCGCATTAAAGTGACAGTACAGGAATAGAGGAGAAATAAGAACACTCAGATTATTCGCACATCAAACAGGATCTATTATTTAGGGAAAATAGATAACAAAACATCAATATAATAAACTCTGATGGTGATTGTTTCTCTTTATTTCATTTATAACATTTATGTCATTAGCCAAATGTTTATTATTGACAGAGGGAAATGAGGCAATACAAGCAATGTAGCTACTTAAGGAGGGAACTTCTTGTTGCTAAGATGTGTTGATTTGATCTTCTGCTGTTTTCAGAAGTGCACTTCATATTGCTTGTGCTGCTGGACATGTTGACGTGGTCCAGTTCCTTGTTGAGAGTAAAGCCAAGCTTAACCTGTGTGACAATCAAATCCGATCCGCCTTAATGAAGGTAATCCTCACACTGTCAGCAGTCATCTTTATTATTATATTTTTTTATAAAATGGATTCACATAAGGGTTTATAAAAGTCTGTTAATAATCTTGTTAATTGCATTGTTTCCATTTCTTCTAAGGCGGTGCAGGGGCAGCATGACACCTGCGCCACCGTCCTCCTGGAGAATCATGCAGATCCAAACCTGGTGGACACAAACGGGAACACAGCGCTGCACCTCGCGGCCAGCATCCCGTCTGTGGCCACGGCAGGGCTGCTGCTGGAGCACGGGGCCGACATCAACGCTCCCAACAAGGTACAATCTACTCACTCCCACTGTCGAATCCAAGCACCAAACCTTGGGGGACTGAGAAGTCGCCATCTCTGCTCCACTCTCTGGAACTCTCCCCCCCCTCCCCACCTCAGAAACTCTGACTCACTAAACTCCTTCAAAAAACAGTTAAAAACTCACCTCTTCCTCCGCAACTTGATGATGTTTATTCATCGAACTGAATTTCTTCATCTGTGTGATAATAAAGGATTGATTTTATTGATTTATTATTATTATTATTATTTTTTGTATAAAGCAGGGCTGTCAAACCAGTCTTCAAAGGGCCAGTGGCTAACCTGTGGCTCTAACCTGTGGCTCTAACTTGTGGCTCTAACTTGTGGCTCTAACTTGTGGCTCTAACTTGTGGCTCTAACTTGTGGCTCTAACTTGTAGCTCTAACTTGTGGCTCTAACTTGTGGCTCTAACCTGTGGCTCTAACCTGTGGCTCTAACCTGTTGCTCTAACCTGTGGCTCTAACCTGTGACTCTAACTTGTGGCTCTAACTTGTGGCTCTAACTTGTGGCTCTAACTTGTGGCTCTAACTTGTGGCTCTAACTTGTGGCTCTAACCTGTGGCTCTAACCTGTGGCTCTATCCTGTGGCTCTAACTTGTGGCTCTAACTTGTGGCTCTAACTTGTGGCTCTAACTTGTGGCTCTAACTTGTGGCTCTAACTTGTGGCTCTAACCTGTGGCTCTAACCTGTGGCTCTATCCTGTGGCTCTAACTTGTGGCTCTAACTTGTGGCTCTAACTTGTGGCTCTAACTTGTGGCTCTAACTTGTGGCTCTAACTTGTGGCTCTAACCTGTGGCTCTAACCTGTGGCTCTAACCTGTGGCTCTATCCTGTGGCTCTAACCTGTGGCTCTAACATGTGGCTCTAACTTGTGGCTCTAACCTGTGGCTCTAACCTGTGGCTCTAACCTGTGGCTCTAACCTGTGGCTCTATCCTGTGGCTCTAACCTGTGGCTCTAACTTGGGGCTCTAACTTGGGGCTCTAACTTGTGGCTCTAACCTGTGGCTCTAACCTGTGGCTCTAAATTGTGGCTCTATCCTGTGGCTCTAACCTGTGGCTCTCACCTGTGGCTCTCACCTGTGGCTCTCACCTGTGGCTCTCACCTGTGGCTCTCACCTGTGGCTCTAACCTGTGGCTCTAACCTGTGGCTCTAACCTGTGGCTCTCACCTGAGCACACTAGACTCCACCCAGAAGATTTATTTTAGACACAACATACTGTCTTGTCCGTTGGGCTTTTTAAATGACTCAGCCCAGGTCCAACTTGCACACCCTCTTCTACAGGTAAATATTGCATTATTGAAAAAGTGGCATTAAAAAGGGACAAAATAACACACAGACTGTTGTCACGGACTCAACTGAAATGGGTGGAGTCTGCTGTGCGTCTGGTCATGTTGACTAGTCAAGGACTGGTTGGGCAGCCCTGGTCTAAACTCTGCTGAGAGTGAGAGCAGTAACTGTAGTAACTCTCTGCAGGAGGGTCTCACACCTTTGAGCGTGGCGGTCCGTGAAGATCACGTGGAGATGGCGGAGTTTCTGCTCAAAGAAGGAGCAGACGTCAACGCTGAAGACGACAGTAAAAGGTCCATAACAGATAACAGTGTTTTCTCTGTGAAAGTGGTGTTTGATGTAAGTCTGTGGTGCAGGTCGGCTCTGATGATGGCTGCTGGAAACGGCCAGTACGACATGCTGCAGCTGCTGCTACGGCATGACGCTGATGTTTCACTGAAGGACGACAGAGGATGGTCTGCTGACGACTACGCCACACAGAACCAACACCATGCGTAAGAACATCTTTCCCTTTCTCTCTCCTCTGGTTATAGATTTACCAATGACTGTCTATTTTGGGTCCTGTAATTTCAGGACTATAAGCAGCTACTTGTCTGTAAAAATGCGCTATATAAATAAACAATACTTCTACTTTGTTGCTCCCTGCAGCTTATTTATGGAAGCGGCTAATGTGTGTATTTTCATTGTGATACATTGGGCTGTTGTCAGAGCAGAGTTTATGGACTTATTATTTTGACCCAATCCAGTTTCAGTAGACACACAACTCTGGTTTGTCAAAATAGATGAAGGTGAATTAGTCATGATCAGTGTGTCCAAAATGTCCAAAATCATGTGCGCTGACATGCTTGCAATACCACCCCTGGCCTGTGGGGGTGGACCTGGAATAAAAAATAGCCAAAGTTAACGTATAGCATCTTCTTACCTCTGGAAAACGTCTTTACAGGATGGTCCAAAAGTCGGCTCTTGGCCCGAAGCTCCGTTCCACATGTGTGTCAATGCTGAGGGGGGTGTATTAGTTGGCTCAGTCTAGTTTAGCGGCTGTGGAATTTTGAATTGCACTTGGCTAGTGCAGCTAACAGATGAATATGTTTTTTTACATGTTTCAGCCCCGCAGTCATTTTGAAACTGCCCATAAACGGCAAAAGGGATGGCACAATAGTTTTAACGGTGGAGATAGGCGTGACTACGTCCTTTAATATTTACTGTCTACGGTCATAAATCATGTGACCAGTTAACACAGTTGTCTCTCTGTTACATCACAACATGAGAACTTGTGGAATTTCATTTAAAATGTAGGCTTATATACAGGTGCAGCTTATAGTTCAGAAAGCATTTTGAAAGATTTTGTATGCATGCCTTTAGTTGTTTTACTCTTACAACTTGTTTCTACCTTGAAATTCCTAGTTTGTGACTTCCTGCTACTTACAACAGCAATAAAAATAACTCTGGTTCTAGTGATTGATTTAATTTGTTTTTTAGTTGTTCTCATCTCATCGATAATCACACTGCCCAGAAAAGTGATGGAGCATCTTTATTACGTCAAGACCAAAGCAAAAACAAGAAAAAACCCTCTGGAGCCTTCCAGCGCTCCGGGGCCGGCTTCTCTCTGGAAGGACCGGCGATCGACAAAGACGGTAAATGTCCTTCAGAGATGATCCGAGTCAAATAGAGTGGAGGAGGCTCAGCTTGTGTTGCCGATTCTTGACATTAACTACTTTAACTTTATCCCTCATGCAAAACCATTGACTGGATCTAGAGCATGGAACAAAACAAGCAGGGGGAGGTATTGCTTTGCTTAGCTCTAGTTTAGTAGCACAGAGTTCGATGGTTGTTTTTACCTAATTGTTGAATGTCGAAGCCATGTGAATGGATTTGAGTTTTGTGAGTGTGCCAATCCGCTAGAGTCTAGTAGCGTAGTGGAGTTTGGCGGTAATTATCTGATCAAAGTCTCTTTCCTCTTGTAGATGTTGAGGACGTCTCCCAGTCAGAGTCTGTGAGTCGGTGAGTAGAGTAACTAAAACTATAACCAACTAAATATAGCTAATGTCCTCTTCCATAATACTGTCAAAAGCATTCCAACAATTATACTTCTTTAACTATTTCTGCTTGCTCTGCTGATTTCTTGTCTGTCATTGATTGACCAAGCCTTTATTCTCTACTCATCTTATTAGGGTTTCAAAAAGCGGCGCTGATGATTGGCCCTCTTCAGATAATGACGATGAATCGCCCATCGTTCAAAAGGTCTGCTCTGATTTGTGGTTTTTATTGGGTTCTGTTGTACACATTTTGTTCCCAGTCTAAATACATGTTTATATGTTCTCCAGAAACCCAAGAAGTACAACCTAAGGCAAATGTTTGCATCTAAAGCTGGAGGTATTTGGCCTGTCCTTGTATATAAACGCTCAGTATGTTTGAATTACACTATAGTACGACCACATATGCACTATTGATATTCATATTTCTATAAACACTGAGATGTGCAGATCCAAAATATTGCATATTGTTTATAGAATACAATATGTGCGATCTTTTGTACAGGGACTACACAACACACGCAGTTTTAGTCACATCACAAAAGCTAAATATATGAGGAGATGAAGAATTGAACATTAGGAACACACCCTCCTTTAGTGTGGACATAACTGTAGTGGTTTAGTTGTTCAGTACCGCACTTTCTGGACTATAAGGTGCACCTGTATACAAGCCGCACCACCGACATTTTATAAGAAAATCAATGTTGTCCACATATAGGCCTCACTGGAGTATAAGGCACGTTGTAATGTAGCAGAGAGGACAGCATGATTTAATGACCAGGTGTTCAGCAGTTTAACCGTTAGCATCCAGGACTCATTCACCGTTAGCTTCCATAACTCATTAATTAATTGTTAGCTTCCATGACTCATTAATTGTTAGCTTTCATGACTTCTTCACCGTTAGCTTTCATGACTTATTCACCGTTAGCTTTAGCACACAGTAAACAAGTGTCCTGTAGCTACTAAACCTGAATGGAGTCAAAATAATAAGCTCTGCACTGACAACGACATCACAACATAAATTCACATATTAGCCGAATCACTTTATAAGCCGCAGGATTCAAAGAAGTAGAAAAAAGTAGCTGCTTATAGTCCAGATGCGGTATATATGTCGGTGTAGTGTGTACCATTCCTATTTCTATGATTGTTCCATCTTCTTTCTGGTGTCTTTCCGGCTGTTGTGTAATTCCCTTTTGCACCGGTAGCTTCGGCGCAGCTCGACACGTCTCTGAGCGGCGTCGAGTCTGAACCAGAGCCTGAGATAGTCCCCCACATCGCTCCTCCAGTCCCCCAGGCCCTACCCTCCACCAGCACCCGCTCCGTCCCTGTAGACCCCCATCCCGAGTCGCTCCCATTCAAACCTCCACGGCTGACCTCCACCCCTCTGTCCAGCTACAACAAGGTAACATGTGTTCTGTTTTTTTCCTAAAACCTTTTTTCTCTTTTTCCTTGAAGCGTTTAAGCTAACAAAATGTAGAGATAAGAAGGGAGAGAGTGCCCTGTCTGAGCAGCCTTCATGCAGTAAAGCAACAGAGGAGTCTCAAGAGGAAAGCTCAGAGGAGGAGGAGGATGAGGGAGAGGATGATGACGATGAAGAGGAGGAGGAAGAAGAAGAAAGTGAAGAGGAGAGCGATGAGGAAGAGGAGAAAGCATGCAGTTCTAAAAGCATTCAACATCTTTTCCAATTTGCATCGGCTAAAACTGCAGGTGCTACAGGCCACACCGGGCAAAACATTAGCAAAACTTTAAAGAATGAAGTAGAAAAGACAAATACTGATAATATTCCAAGCGAGGCGATTGGTTTTCCATCCGATCCGTCAAACTCTGAAGGCGAGAGTGAGGAAGACGGCGGCAAAGCTCCCTCCAGTGCCAAAAAATGCAACATCGGTTTAGGCATCCTCAGCACAACCCATATGAAAAATGTGGAAAAAAGACCCAGTTTAAATGGTAAAGAAATACATGATTCTAGTCAAAGTAAACTAAACTCTCCACAACCAGTCAGACTAGACGTGAAAGAAGACTGCATCGTGTCGGCCATTAGAGTAGAGGCCAAGCTTTCTGATGAGGATGACGGCACAGGGAATTCAGATGGCGTTGAGAATCCAGGGAGTGCTGAAGCGAGATCAAGGAGCCAAGAATCCGATTGGGACGGCCTCCGTGACCACGAGGAAGCAACGGTAGGAAAACGGAAGTCGTCGTGGGGATCTTCAATAGACAGCGACACCGAGTTACCCAAAGACCATAGAAAAGTAGAGGGAAGTGGTTTAAGAACAGATAGCCCTACTGTGGGAGGTGGAGCAACAACACAGTCAAAAGCTGTTGCTACTTCTGAACGCAATGGATCTCAAGTTACGGACAAGTCTAAATCTCGGAAGTCTGATTCAGAGTCTGACTGGGATTCAGATTCAGCTAAAGATAATGTGATGTCTCCACAAGTCGCACGTATACCTGAGAAAAATGGAGCAAGCGTTCATCCAGACGACAATGCAGGACCAGCTTTACAACCGCTGCCGTTGGGGTCCGAAGAGAGAGATTCGGATGGTGAAAACAGTTGGAGCGATCATGAAGAAAACCTCTTCGATACAAACAAGATCCACCCCACACACGTCATATCCAGTGACGATTCGGACAGCCAGGATCAGAACCTGGAGTACGACGTCGCAACGGCCACGGTCCACATTCCAGACGTCCGAGATGGCGCCAAGTTGCTTTCGTATGTTCCTTTTGAGGGCAGGGCTAAGAGTAGAATCACACGTCAAGAAGAATGGGAAGAAACACCTGCCCATGGGTCTTCTGATGAAGCACTGCCTCAAACAGATATCGACGATGTGGACGTGGATTCACAAGATGGAGGTTTCAGTCTTGTCTGCTCTAAGGAAAAGAAATGTGTCTCTCAGGTAAAAGAAGTAGAATGGAAAGTATCCAAAGTAGAATCCTTTAGAATTAGGTTTCCTGCGGTCGATTTTAACATGTGCTCTTCATTGTTCTATCTGCATTAATATATCTTAATGGACTGAAGTAATTACGAATAAATTACATCTACCTGCAGAAAGAAATGTCGACGGATGACGACAGTGATCAGAACGAAGACTTGAAGGATCAGGATGAAGAGGAGGAGTCTGAGGAAGAGGGGGAGGAGCCAGAGGAGAGCGACCAGTCCCATGGCGCGGCCTCCACCATCCCCGAGACCGATGCATCCAAGGACAAAAAGAGGGGTAATGATGTAGTATTGAATAAAGGCAAGGCAAGTTTATTTGTATAGGACTGTCGGAGTGTAGGACATTGTCAGAGAAGAAGCCTGTCTCATATTTTCAGGATTTTCAGAAAGACTGTTCCAGATTCTAGCCGCATAAATATAAAACTAATAATCCAATATCTCCTTACATACTTCTTACTGCTAATGTATTTCACCAAAAGTGTTAATTATTTACTTTTTAGATTTCATGTCGGAGTTGGGTTTAGAGAAGGAAGAACCAGTCCAGGATTCTTGGGACTCTGAGGTACAGTCTCAGTCTGACTACAAACATATATATATACAAAAATGTTTACATTATTTTATGCAAAAACCACATGTTTCTTTCTTCTTTCTAGTCTGATTTGGACGACGTCAATTTACTTCATGAAAAGAAAGAGGAGAAAGTGGTCCATCAAGAGGAACTGCCCACAGTCAAAGAGCATGAGGAGGGTGAGTCTCAAAACCCCTGACTCCCTTTACTTTAGATTTGTGATCATTCCTTTTCTTCATCCAGGAACTTGAAGAATATGTCATGGGTTTATGTAACGAGGAGTAGGCTCTGCAGTCGTTTGTGTGACAGTATATTAGTATTTTAACATATTTATAACCACATTTTTATGAACTCGTTCATTATCTCTTACCGGAGTAACAAAAGAAGTAGTAGCAGTAGGAGAAGTATCGATGGATAGATAGATACTTTATTGATCCCCCTGTAGGAGAAATTCAGGATAGTAATAGCTGTAGCCGTAGTATTAGTAGTAGTAGTATTAGCAGTAGCAGTAGTAGCAGTAGTAGCCATACAATCAATTATAACAGCTCATTATTATTGAATACAAATTTTGACACTAATTCCACCATTTCAGGCACCATTTCATGCTGTGGAACAATTTTATATTTTTATTATTATTATTATTAATATGTTTATTATCATTACTCTCTATTTGACGGAAACAGAATTAACTTGTTAAACTGTGTGGAATCTCTCTTTGTAGACCTGTTTTATATCCCCTCATTTGTAAGAAGGGAGGGGAGCGGGAGGAGGTCTGTGCTAGAGTATCGGCGGAGTGTAGACCCCACAGGCAGCCGGGGCGAGGGTACGAGTGCTTGTCCTGCATCATCGGTCTGAAGACCCGCATGCCCCCGTTAACCTCACACCACATCCCTGTCCCATAACACTCTGCATGCTCCGTTTAACACTAGGACTTCTGGAAAAAAAATAATTCACTGCTTCAATTCATACGGTTATTATCTTTAGTATGTGGTCATTTCGGTTTATATAAATGAAATACAGCAAAAATAAATGCTAACTGATGCAAGTAGACAGTGTGTTGCTATGCTAACTAGCACCTGGGATTGCTCTGAACCAGTCCAGGACCAGATCATTTCTGAAACATAATTACATAGAAATTACGGCACGGTGGCTGAGTGGATAGCACTCTCGCCTCTCAGCAAGAAGGTCCTGGGTTCGAATCCCGGTCGGACCAGGGCCTTTCTGAGTGGAGTTTGCATGTTCTCCCCGTGTCTGCGTAGGTTTCCTCCGGGTACTCCGGTTTCCCCTACCACTAAAAATATGTACAATAGGTCTGGCATGTGCCTCCTGTTCGGCGACCCCGCTCCCATCTCTGTCTGGAGTGAGAGACAAATGCCCAAAAAAATAATAACAATTGTAAACCGCTTTGTGACCCTTGTGTGTGAAAGGCGGTATATAAATAAAGATTACTTACTTACTTACTTACTTACTTACATAGATACAGAAAAAAGGTTCAGAAGCGGAGTGATTACACTTCTGAAATGAAAAGTCGTCAAACTGACTGGTCTGGGAGTTCTAGTGTTAATGCATTCTACTCCATTCACCGCCACTGCAGCCTCATCGTCCCACTCCTGCTTTAGAAAGGCCATTTGGTAAGAACTTGCTTGGACGAAGTGAATTAGTCTTAAAAGTTGTGTTGTTGTTACTGACGTATAAAGGGCTCGCTCTCACTGAACCTGAAAAAGCAGTATTGACCATCCGTGCTTTTATTCCCATTCTCTAACTGTGCTGTGCCTGTGCTTATTAACCATGTTCCACCTGCACGCACATGTGGTCTGCAGCACTGTGGCCATCTGAGTCATTAGAAAACAACCAGAACGGGCTTTCGAGAAAGCCAAAGTGTGTGAAAGAATGTCTGTCTTTTCTTGTAGTTAACAGCAGCAATGTTGATCAAGAGGAAAAGGACCCTGGTGAAAGTTTACAGAAAGAGGTAAAACATCTGAAGTCGTGGAAATAATCCTAACCTATAAAGATGCATTTGAAGTATATTCTTTTGTATTATTTAGAGTGAAAAGACAAAATGGGGACCAATTCTAAACAAGCTTGAAGGTGTTTCAGACCAAAAGACGGACCAAAACACCGGTATCTTCTCATTCTCTTTTGTCAATCAAAGTTTATTTTCCAAATTTAACTGTAGATATCTGCTTTTCAGACTTAATGCAAGAGCTGGGATTAGGAAATGTAGATGACATTGCAGGTAAGCTTCATGGATGTACAGTATGATGTCCTGAAATGCATTTTATTTCTCCATAAAGTCACAGAGAGTGGTCCCAACTTCCCATAGAGCTGAGACAATACACAAACAGCACTTCTATTCGCAGCAGTTTGGCCTGTGGCAGCTTAACAAACACGAGATAAAAAAGCATCCCTCGCCCACTCCACGGATCATCTCGTCATTTTAAAGGGTCTTCCTCACATCTACACCCAATTTTCAGTTTCTGTCCAGTAGATTTTGCTCAATCCTGCGGACAGACGGAGACCGTTCCGAGTCAAACAGGACCCTGAGTCTTCAGGGCAGCCGTCTTCTGGGATATAACAGATCCCTGCCATCATTCTTAGAAAGAGTAATCACACATCTATGAAGTGTTGAAAATTAGAATGGTCTTGTTATAACAGTAAAGAGTCTGGTCTGTCCATTGCAGGGATGAAAGATTTCCGTCTATTCTGCTAAAAATGGACCTCCGTGATATTTTGTTCAAAAGTACATTATTACAAGTATATGTCAAATTTTCACTAAAAGCTTTTTGTAACGGGTTCACAGAGACTTTACAGCGTTCAAAAATGAATGAAAGAAATTACTTGTATGAATTACTATAAAACCAAATATTTGTTGATTTAACCACGTCACTGAACATGTGTTTGTAGATGTATGATCCTGAACTGATCGAGTTAGTGGCCCTCTTGCCCTGGTCTCTTTGATATTTTTTTCCACACAAAATACAATTGTTTGCAAATACTTCAGAAGTTTGGGAAAAATCTTAAGACATTGTTAGATATTTCAAGCTTTCGAAGCTTGACCTTTCCCTTCTTTTTCAATGTTAGAATTCATCAGAATTTCATAGTGCATTTCTTTTTTTTTTTTAAGTCCATGCTGAAGGGGCGATTGGCAGACATTTCAGACTTTTTCAAATGTCCTATTCTCATCCCTGCCATTGTGACAGTTGTGTCCACATAAAAATAAGTTCTAAACAAGCCGGTGGAGTTGTACATAGTGCGTGATTAACTTGATTGTTTTTAAATTATTTGAACATTGCAGGACAATATATTTCAAATGAGACAAAGTAGTGTCATTGACCTGAAATGTTGTGTGTGCTCAGACGCCTCTGACTGGGACTCTGCCAGCACCGCCAGTAAACGCACTCTTCCCGGGGGCCGCAGGGTGCCTTCACCAGGGATCGAGGAGTTCGCAGAATCCCCTGAGCCTCCAAAGAAAGAGGAGGTTCCTAAAGCTGCAGCAGTCACACCTCAAAGCAGCTTCAACTCCAGAACAGCCAGCACCGCGTCTGCCCCTGCCTCAGCCTCAGCCCTTGCCTCTGCCCCTGCCTCAGCCTCAGCCCTTGCCTCTGCCCCTGCCTCAGCCCTTGCCTCTGCCTCTGCCCCTGCCTCAGCCTCTACCTCTGCCTCTGCCCCTGCCTCAGCCTCAGCCCTTGCCTCTGCCCCTGCCTCAGCCCTTGCCTCTGCCTCTGCCCCTGCCCCTGCCTCAGCCCCTGCCCCTGCCTCTGCCCCTGCCCCTGCCTCTGCCCCTGCCTCAGCCTCTGCCCCTGCCTCAGCCTCAGCCCTTGCCTCAGCCTCTGCCCCTGCCCCTGCCTCAGCCCCTGCCCCTGCCTCAGCCCCTGCCCCTGCCTCTGCCCCTGTGCCTCACCCACAGCCACGGGCCAGGAAAATGACCCCTCGTGAAAGTCAAGAGGGTAAACTCAAATTATTCACTCTTTAACTTTCTTTTGGGAGTAATATGACTTCTGTGTAGTATATATACTCTACAACTTGAATGGGTTCTATCAGGAATGGTGTCACTTTTCAAATACAAATGTTCAGCTGTTGGTGGCTGAGTGGTTAGCACAGGGCTTTTCCTCCAGGTGCTCCGGTTTCCCCCACCACTAAAACAATGTGCAGTAGGTAAAATCCCTCAGCTCTGGCCCTGACCAAGTGACCAAGAGCATCAACATCTGTCAGGAGCGACCACTGCTCCAGAAAGAGGCCCTAGTGGTAATGAGGGATGGGTCAAATGCAGAGGATAAATACAGAAAGTTTATAACTGTTTTTCTCTGTATGTTTTCTGTGTTGAGTGAACCTCTCTGCTCTTGATTGCTTGAATGATTCTTGGTTTGTCTCTTGTTTCCAGAGTCCGACTGGGACTCTGACCGGCAAAGTGACAATCATATGATGGAGGCAGTTTACCAGCAGGCCTTAGATCAACCAGGTGAAAGCACTTTAATTTGGTTTTGTCTCCGTCAGTGTGCAATATGCGTTATGTGGAACTTGTACATTGTTTTCTGCTGCTCAGATTCCCCAAAGTCAGAGTCCGAATCAGCAGGAAAAATCTCAGCAGACGAGACAGAGCCAGAGGACGAAGCACCGGTAAGATTCACACATTTAAAGATAATTATATATGTATTTGCAGCACATACAGTTTTGTTTTTCCTTTTGAGAGCTTAAAATGACAGCTCATATGTGCAGTTTAGTTGTACCTTCTCACCTGCCACATGTAGCATCCCAGATTGTATTGTATTTCGTTATGGCTTAAAAATATGGAACCTTAGGGGACATATTTTCCAATCTCAGTATCTTGTCTATGTGTTCGTCCTTTCGTCTTTGCCTCATGTTAATCATCACTTACTACTAATCACTGCTTTTTGCCATAACATAACGTATCTTTGCTAACATATTTAACAGATGCCATGCTTTTATTTACACTCATATTGGCATGTGCATATTTTTTGTCTGTTTTCGTTCCGATCACACCCACCAAGGAAAGAGAAGCTGATGCAGTAGATGTAGGAGCCGTAGCTGTAGACCCCACTCCCCCGTCCGACCGTCCCACCTCTGACAATGGCGACAACTGTTCGTTAAGCGATCGGGATCACTCTGAAGGCCACGAGGAAACAGCCAAATCTGCACCGTGGGAGAAACACCACGAAAACATCTGGGTAGAAGTTGAGAAAAGGGGAGTCAAGACCACGTACAGAAGCGTCACTGCAGAGTTAAAAGCGAGATTTGGGGAGAGTTTTAAATCTAGACACAGTGATTCAGAGGAGGAGGAAGAGGAGGAGAAGGAGGAGGAGGAAGAGGAGGAGGAGGAGGGGGGGAATGAACCTGCACCAGACACATCCAGTGATGAAGATGAGAGAGGTGACACTGGAGAGAGACCCATAGCAAGAGCGAGACAAATGACCAGACTCTTAACCATACCAGAACAAAGGGAGTCCGGCTTAGAAGACTCAGAATCTGCAGAGAACTCCACATGCGAGCAGATGTTGGATGACTCCAGACATGAGCAAGACACACCAGAAAAAGAGGAAATCAAAGAGGACAGTTCCCCTTCGCTGCAACAGAGGAAATTCAGCAACGCTATTAACGAAGGCGGATTTACACAAGACCTTTCTCAGGACTCCACAGACGAGGATCAGCCCAGGACAAAGTCTCCCCCGCCGTCGGAAGATCCGAGTCCGAGTTCTTTTAGCAATGAACCACAAGAGCGTAGGACTTCGTCACCACTGCCTTTAGAAGTCAACGCTGCCATGCTAGATTCAACTGTGGGAGATGAGCCAGAAAAATTTTATGATTTGTCAATTCAAAGCAGTAGAATCTCCGAGAGCCAGGTCGTCTTTCCACCTCCCTTTGAAACGAAAGGGGAAACTAGTTGCATTACAAATGAACAAGAAGAGAATCAAGCCTTGTCAGAAGTCTCAGTCTTGGAAGAAGTCTCAAATCTTAGTAATCGTTCACTCGATGACGGAGAGGCGAAGAAAGAGGATGTAGACATAAGTTCAGGGTCAGCAACCTCAAAGGAAAAGACCATTTCACCAACAGAAGTTTGCGACAACGCAGATTTGACAGACACCACAAAACCGGGTAATGATGTGGAAGCAATTGATCCAGATGAAGAGGCTGCGATAGAAGGAGATAAAGTCAGAACAGCATCTACAGCTAAAGAAGAAGCTTCAGGAGAAACTTCAGAAACAGACTTGGAAGAAGACCATCGCTCGTTTAAAGAATGCATAAAACCTCTGAGTGAAGTCGGTGAGAGAGATGTGAGTGTTGAGGAAGATAACCAGGACTTTGCTCAGAGTGAGAGAGGCCTGGGGCTCAGTAAACGGCTCGTGGCAGCGACGGCAGTCCTGGACAAAGAGTTGGAGAAGGACATGGAGAGGAGTGGACAGGAGGTAGAGATGCTGAAGGAAGTCTCCCAGGATTTGGAGAAAGAAAAGGCCCAAATGCAGAAGGAGGTAGATGGTTGACCAGATCTGCTGCTGTGTTCCTGTTCTTCATAGATAATCTGCCCTTTCTGTCACTTCACTAGAGTTTCATCTTTTCTGGTTGAGGTGTTGTTTCTGATGATGTAGTACAGCAGGGGTGCCCAGACTTTATCAAACCAAGAACTACTTTCACTTTGACCATTGAGCCGTGATCGACCTCGGGTTTAAGTGCCGGTTTAAATTTATGATCAAGTATTTATTTAAAAACCTTCACAATACTAATTTTTACAAATCAATATAACAGATGAATAAACGTGCACCTGGTTCGAACAGGAGATGGATGAAGTAGATTCTTATTAGGTACAGACCATGTCGTCTCTTTTCACATTTAATTGAGAGGAAAGAAATACTTTTAGGGTTTACGGGCAGTACGGTTTCAGTGCCATTCTTACAGCCGTGAAGCTCACACATGGAGACACTCCGCTTCCCGAGTTGTTGCCCTGTTAGGACAGTCAAAAACAACACAATTCCGGTGCCCATAACCCATGGACAAGGTATCGCACTGTAAGAAAAGAAATGGGGCGTTACAACTGAAAATGTACAACTTTGGGCAAGTTTATAAAGCTTATGTGTAAGCACTCGATCCTCGTAAGCTACATGTAGCTCTATAGTCAGTCGGTTGTGTTTATCTAAAACAACAAGAAAAAACTGCATTGCTTTTTTCTTAAATGAAAAAAACTGTACCTTACCTTCAAAATGTCTGAAATTGGTGAATCTTTTAGCTAATAAAACAATCTATGGGCTGGAAACAAGAGAGAGGTCAATCGTTCGCGACAAGTAATCCAATGCGGCACTTGTGTTTTGATGCCCACCTTTTTTGACCCAACTACCCACAATGCCGTGCGTTCGAACCGGAAGCTCGGAACTCTTGATGCATGTATTATGAAAAAACGGACAAGAAAATCAAAATAACAAATATTTCAATTTGCTTTCTGCAAGGAGTAAACATTAAAGAGTTAGAATTTACTTAAAACATGTACAGAATTGATCACTTATGACAACACCTCATTTTCTACTGTCTACTTTGTCTTCATGCTCGTTTGGGATCATTTTTGTGACACCTACACCAATAGCAGCATTACTACTCTGACAACCTATTCCCAGTTCTCGTTCCCTTTTAGGGGGTGAACGGTCCAACGCTTGGTGAACTCTGCAAAGACTACAATTTGACAATTACAGGGAATATACAAAGTTAATAATTGAAGCACATTTAAAACAACATATGTGTTTGATCAGCTAAAAAAATAGAGAGATGATATAAAGAGAATAACAATAAGTTGTGTTTGAGGCAATCTTAAGTATTATGGCACCATCCTGTGTTGTTAGATGTTATTGCATGGATTTTGCATGTTACTTTGGTGTGAATACCTGAGACTTCTTTATACGTATAAAGAAGGATTTTCTTCACATCAACTGTTTCTCAAGTTTTCAGTGTTTGTAGAAATAGATGCATCGTTCAATCTGGAGCTGTATTTGATGAACCACTTTTAGTTTCATTTCAACGTCGATGCTGTGTGAATGATAAGGACATATCTTGAATGTCATTAAGTAAAAATACCTCAGAGTAACCAGTGTAAGGTGTTAGGTCTCCTTCCACACGGCTCACACTAAATTATGAATGACAAAGTATACAAGTACATGCTCCAAAATGCATCTGGAGAAGCCGCTCCGGACTTTTCTCTCCGCTGTCAGGTGAAGTTCCTCTCGTCTCTAGGATCATGAAACACTTGCTCTTCTTTCTGCAGGTGCATAAACACAGCAGCACAGAGACATGGAGACACACAGAGCTGCAGCGCCTCTCTGCGTCCCGGGACAAAAGCGGAAATCTGACTGAAGACGTGGGATCTGAGAAACGTGAGCTTGGAACAGGATTCAGGGAAGAGCTGACGGCACGAGCGGCTCCACAAGAACGCAAGCCATTACCCACCAAACGGTACACTCTTTAACAAATATTATTTGTTTTATTAATAGTTTTTTTTTGTGCTAACTTGTTTTGTGAATGGGGCTGACTACATTGCATTCACATTTGATTGCATAAAAATGATTCTGATTCTGATATTTGTAGATTAGCAGTATTCTCAGGTCCATAATTTATTTTCATATTGTTTTCCTTGTGAAGAAGACCTAAAATGACTGAGTATATTTTCATAGATGATATTTATGTATTTTATATGGACACAACCGTTACATTGGACAGACCAGACCTGCCTTTAGTGTTATAGCCAGACCAAGTTCAACACTTGTTCATATGAGGCTTTTTTTAATTTTTTGTCAATGGCACATATATAATGATGTCATATGCTGCAAAAAGATAAGGACAAAGTTAAGATAAGGAGAAAGTTCATGCACAGTGTATATTGCATGTAAACATGGGAAGAAGATAACATTAATGCACACAATTAAATGTACAAATATACAATTAGTCAAATGCACAATTCATTGAACATGTGAACAACTTCTCTCAGATTTCAGCCACAGTTTCAGACTCTGTTAAAGATGTTTGAATCTGTTTGTAGTTTTGGGTCAGAGGAAAGAGTGTTCCACAGTCGGTCTGGGCAGGTTTGATCCAGCAACTTAAAGGTGTATTGGGGGATTTTCTACTTCCGGGTGGATCATCAAGAATATTGGTCCTCCCAATTGTTAATCATTCTGGTGATACGTGCTCGTCAAATAAGACCAGAGAGTCTGGCTCAAAAAGTGGAGAGGGCGTTTCTTTGGGAAAATCCTCCAATATACCTTTTAATTTGAGGATGAAGACCCTAAAGACAAAGTTACACTCACTTAAAGCTGGGGTACCTAACATTCAAAAGACAGAAAAATATATTCATAGTTTGATTCTATCTGTAGTGCTGACATGCTTAAGTATGTTTGGCCTCTGTCGCAGCTTTTTCAGACAGAAAGGTCATACTGAGAGGACCCTCATTCAAATGTTAAATTGTGACTCTCAGGGCACTTCATTACAAGTTTGCAAAAGATAAAAAGTTTTCTCAAGAGGTAAAGACGGCATGGTGTGGTCTCGTGTTACTTTTACAAAACTCTTTCTATATTATAAAAAGATACCCCAGCTTTAACAGCTTCAGCTCCAGCCTCTCGGGCCTCACTCCAAACCAGCACAACTATCTCTCTCTTTTATACTATTATGTGAAATAAAGGTTAATTTTCCCTCTCAGCACCAACGGAGCTCCAGCCAAACCCAGCTTTCCCCTGCAGCAGATGCACAGCAGCAGACACCACCTCCAGGGCCCTCAGGAGCCCAGAGGGGCCCCTAGACATGTTAACGGGAACCCTCTGTCTGTGTTTGACGATAGCTCTTTAAGTGACGTGTCTGAAGATGAAGTCAGGTATTCTGCAGTATACGCCGTCACTGATCTCTGCTGCTACTAACCCCCAAAAGTATTCAACCAAACCCTGGAGTCTGGCATGAACTCTCTCTTTTGTTTTTCCTCATTTTCAATCTGAACAGAGTTGTTTTGGATATTTGGTTCCTGGTGCATGCTTCTATTCTCTCCAGCCTTTCAGTTGCTGCATGACTAACATGACTAACAGTAGAATTCTGCAACACTTTCAACATTTCACGCAAGAATTAAGTGCTATGTCCTGCTATGTACAAACAATGGTCTTTGTCAAATACAGAAACATGAGAAGAATTTGTGGGTGACGTCTCGCAACTTTACAGCTTTAATGAGTCTAGTCCCAAATGTTGGAGAATTATACCTTTATTAGTCCCACTGTGGGGAAACATGAGCCTACAAAAGGTGGATTCTCCTACTTTCAATTTTTCTCAGAGAACGGCAAGTTTGGCATTGGCGTTCGATTCCACCTTCAGGTCTTTCTTATTGGAGTTTGCATGTTCTCCCCGTGTATCCGTAGGGTTCCTCCACTCTCCCCTCTCTCTGGGGCCTGGACTGAAACCCCAGTGGGACCTTCTGGTTAAATAAATTTCAATAATAAAAACTTCATATGTGAATCTTAAATACAGTTTTAAACATTATTTCAATAGACACAAAGTTTAGTGTATTTTTAGACACATCAATCTTGCTTGTGATAAAGTGTTGCTTAGACTGTTTCCAAACTAACTATACTGCATTATACCCAGATAAAACTTCAACCGGTCGTATTAACATTGTTATTAACGATACATAACTACATCTTTTCTGTTTTGTCTTCTGATCGGCACAGACTTCCTAAACAAGTCAACAAAAATGAGGTAGGCCTATCCTTGTTTCACAGAGTCACAGCTCGAAACCGTCTCGAATGTGTTATGCTGAATGTGTGTGTTTTTCAGAATTCTGAGGAGGTGGAGCCGGCGGAGGACTTTGATGAGCTGAGCCAGTCCTCGGACACGGCCACAGACGATCTGGACTCTCCGTCTGCGGGATACAGACACGCCGCTCTGCTGGTGGACAAGCTGGACTCCACCTCTCTGGGTAACCTGCCACACTGACTTATTTTCAACATTAAGAACAAAATGTCACTGCTATGTGGCCTGGACTTTGTTTGAATAAGTTACTTTAATCACAAGTGAGTCTGTGTTGATCGTTTACTACCTTATATATATTTGTTTTCGTTGTTTGTTTATTTGAACAGTATTAAATCCTGCTCAAAGAGTAAGGGTTGAAGTAAAACGCGTATGACCAGCCCCACCTCCCAAACTCAATGCAATCAAACTGTAATAGCACAATAAAAACAAGCACACACAAGCACATAGAGGCAAAACTACAACAACAGTCTTGTTTAAGTCATGTCATTTTCTTCACTTTATTAATCCATTTCTGGGTCAGAGCTGCCCCCCAAGTCTCAACGCACCTGTCCCTCGCTGATACTGCTGCAGGTGGTCAGTCCACAGGATGATGGCTTCTCCATGATCGAAGACATGGCCTTGGTCTTTCAGCGGGGGCTTCAGGCAATGTGGGGTTAAGTGTCTTGCGCAGGGGCACAACGACAGCAGACATCATGGGTCGTGGTGGTTTCGAACCCACAACCAGTGCTCTACCAACTGTGCTCTACTTTTTGTAGATATTAGTGATGCCAAAAAGACTGATGCTCACTGGATTGTTTTAAAGACACATACATATAATAACATATAAACCTATTACGCTCAGAGAAGGGATCCTGTTGCTCTGATGTCATTTCTATCCTCAGTACTATTTAAGTCTGAGTACCATTTTTATTTTTTTATTCTATTAGGTTCAGTGTAGGATGTTTAAGAGATCTCTTCTAAAATCATTCTTACCACATGTCGTTAGTAACTATTGCCAGTTTCTTTCCTCTTCCTCCCAGACTCCAGAAACATGGTGAAACTGCAGAACATTTTCCATGAGTACGAGCACACCATCCAGAAGCTGAAGAGCCGCCACAGTTACCTGTCGGATAAAGTGAACCAGCTGGAGATGGAGAGAGTGGACACCAAAAACACACTGGACGAAGTCAAAGATGTCAAGTCGACCCTGGAGCGAAATCAACTGGAGCTGCAGACTGAAGTCACAAATCTAAAGTAAGAAATGTGTGATTAAAGACATCTACAAATCATGATGTGTATTATACTTATGTTAATGTTAAGGTGAATTTAGGTTGAGACAATCGTTCACAAATAATACACTTTTTTGTTGTTGCAGGTTCCAGTTGAAGCAAGAGCAGGAGAATCGACGTAATGCCACAATGATGTACAACAGCACTAAAGAGAAGCTGAAGAGGACTGAGGAGCAGCAACAGCTCGAGGTCCAAGAAAAGCAAAAGATCGAACTCACTCTAAGGAACTTGGAGCTGGAAATGAGGACTCTGGTCAATAACCTGAAGCAGGAAAGTGTTAATAGTTAAAGACCTTATGCCGGGGTTTTTTTTTTTAAATTGTGGATATCAAAATTGCATGACAATGTCAATCTGAAATAGATTCCGGCAAAAATATCCTATATTTTATAAAAAGAACGTGTTTTTCATGAATTTAAGTTGTCTATGCTCTAACCTGTGTGTGACGTCATAGCGGGTTACGCCCATGCATTGAAAACCATGGATCTATGCCACAGGACTGCCTTTTCTCTCTTCTCTCCACTGATGCCCAACACAATACTGCCCTCTACAGGTGACAATTGCTCACTACACATAAATTGCCGTTTTGAGTGTGAAAAAGTGTACGAGATGGGAATTGAACCCCGGTATCTGGATTGGCAGTCCATCAACACAACCACTGGACTATCTCAGTGACAACGAAATGTTACATTCTAGTACTTATCTTAGACTCGCTGTACATGGCCTTGTCATCTTGAATATCCGCGAAATAAGAACGAATACCAAATTGTAAACAACTTACAGCGTTGAAACGTACCCGTTCTGACGTCACCAAGGGCTGTGAAGTTTTTTTGTCTCTAAGGGCGTTGCTATGGGGTTATTTCGATTTGGGGGGATCAGACAAAAAAAACAACAACTGATTTTGAAACCTTTAGTAGTTCTCTTCTAATATAAAATGGTATTAAAACTGTATTTCTAAATAAATCAAACCCGGCATAAGGTCTTTAAGAGTCAATGGTGAAAATGCAGTAGGTCTAATGTTGGAATCTGTGGTGTTTGCAGCTGGAGGAGGACCACAGTGAGACTCAGAGGCTGCTGGTCCAGGAGCGCAGTGCGAGGGCCCTCCAAGAAAACCTACTGAACGGACATCTGCGAAAACAGCAGGAGATAGAAGCAGAGAACAAACGAAACATCAGCAAAAGCCACCAAGTACTCACTCCTTTTATTAACAGACACATCCATGACAATAACAGTCCTGTAATGCTTCACTGCCATGTGTGTGTTGTTCCTGCAGGCTCTGTCTCAGCTCACAGAGGCCAGCGACCGGGAGAGAGAGCTCCATCAGCAGAACACCTCTCTCCAGGAGCAGATCTGCATCCTGAGAGCAGACCTGGAGCGTTCACAAGCCAACAGCAGCCTGAAGGAGAGCCACCTGCTGGAGGAGAACGAGACCCTGAAGGAGCAGCTGGAAGACTCCCGCAGAGACGTCAAAGCCAACAGTGAAGCTCTCACTCAAACTGCCTTTAACTGCAACAACCAACTCACCACGCTGAAGTCTGAGCTGGCCATTATGACCAACCGCTTTGAGAATGAGAAGCAAGCTCGGGACACGCTGGAGCGGGAGCTGGAGTCCACTCGCACTCGTCTGACAGGAGCCGTGCAGGAAGCAGAGAGGTGTATGGCGTCCATCGCAGACACAGAGAAGGCTCTGCTGAGAGAGAAGGAGGAGAGCCAGCGGCTGAAGGACCGACTCACAGGTCTGTTCTCTCTGTTCTGTCTGTGCACTGTATTTGTTGTATTTGACTCTGTTTAGTTAAACATCATCTGTTAATCTGCTCCCAGCTGAGGCCACCAGTCACCGCGAGGCTGTGAGCAGTCTGACTCAAAAACTGTCCAAAGCCGAGGCGCAGGGGAACAGTGTGGAGAACGAGGTGCACAGAGTGTCTCTGCAGCTCACAGAGAAGGGGCTGCTGCTGGACGTCCTGCAGAAGGAGAAGGATCAGCTGGCAGCGCAGGTCAAAGAGCTGGACAAAGCTCTTCAGGCCCAGAAAGACATGGCCACAAAGACAGGAGCGCGACATGAAGCCACACAGGAGCGTCTGGCCCAGGCTCAAAGCGATGGCATGTTACTGCGGCAACAGCTGGAGGAGGCCAACAACAAAGGAGAGGCTAAAGAGAGGGCTGTGACTGATGCACAGGAGCGCTTCAGTGACATGCTGTCCAAGCTGCGCTCTGACTGTGAGGAGAGGGTCCTGCTGGTGGAGGAGAGGAACAAGGAGCTGGCCAGTAAGGCTGCTGACCTCAGGGACCAGGTGTACAAGTTGGATGAAGAGAAGAATGAGAGAGAGGTGACCTGTTCATGTACATAGAATACCATAAGCTATAACCATTGTGAACCATTCTGATTGTTCATGTTTTCACACAGACAAACCTGCGGCAGCTGCAGCAGGAGCTGGCCGACTCCCTGAAGAAACTGTCCATGAGCGAAGCCTCTCTGGAGGTGAACACTCGTTACCGTAACGACCTGGAGGAGGAGAAGGCCCGCATCCTCAAGGACTTAGACAGACTCAAAGAAAAGGTCACAGGAGGAGACTCTCTGTACAACACAGCAGCTGTAATATATGTCTTTATGATTTATGGTCTGTCTCTTGCAGCTGGCAGAGAGTGAGGCTCAGTATGTGCAGGCAGAGAGACGCTGCAACTCTCTGAAGAGCGGCTTTGATGAAAAGGAGAAGAAACATGTAATTACAGCTCAGAGACTTCAGGAGGCGCTGTCTGCCTCAGCATCGTCTGCTGCCACAATCAAACAACTGGAAGATGCTGTTCAGAGGTACTGTCACTGCGCCCCTCTGTGATGGTCAAAGGTTCTTGTGTTTAATGTTTTACTTTCTCTCAGGTTGGAGATAGACAACGCAAGGCTGGAGGCAGCTGCAAAACAACAGTCCAACAGAATCGAGGCTCTACAGAAAGGCTCTCAGGAAGCTGCCATGGTGAGAGCACTTTCTACAGTGCACCTTCTAGTCCCAGAGAAAGTGATGTCAGAATCTTCTTTGATATGAGTTCATGTTGGATGTTAAGATATTTGGTCTGTTTCCAGCTGTCTGACTGGGCTCCTGAGGAAGGGGTTGGTATCATTTGTAGCTATAGCTCTGTGTGGATTGCTCCTCTTCCTTTACGCCTTAAAAAGCAGAAAATAATGTGCCTAAAAATCAAATGTTTTTCCGTGGGTTTTGAGGGCCTGTGTGTCTGTCTAATACGTCTCTTGTCCAGTCTTTTCTCTCTGGTTTGTGGGATACTGTTCTTTCTGAGTCTAATGAACTCAAACGTTGAATCGGACGAGGACCAACCGTACCTTTCCATATTCCTGTAGGTCAGGGGGCATTTTGAGGAGTTGGTCACAAACCTCCAAAGCAGAAAGATGTCTTTGGAAGACCAACTCAGTAGAGAGGTTTGTGTCTTTTTCCTTCCCTTTCTGTAAATGGGCTCTTTTTACCACCTGCTCCTCAAGTGTTCATGTTGTTACATGTCTATTTTTGCTTTTACATGTTGCGTTTCCATTTGATTTTTAAGCACCACAAATTATTTGATTCACGCAAACATTTTTCTCTACGCTAAAAGAATGATACAATGTTTTACTGAGTGTCTTTCTCTGTAGGTGCAGAAGCAGAGCATGTTGTCTCACACGGCTCAGGACTCGCAGGCTTTATGGGAGCAGGAGGTGAAAGGCCGGTCCAAGTTAGGGCTGCGTTTGTCGGAGCTGGAGAAGGAAAAAGGGGAGCTGGCGTCTCAGGTAACGACTCAGGACGTGGAGGAAAAACTGTTTAAAAAAAACATAGTTTTAAAGAAGCTATACCCGAAGTAGTTCATAAAAATGCTTTTTACTACATACAAGTTGTATCATAATACATAATTTAATTGAAAACTTGAGGTCATTGATTCAGCTGTGTATGAATTACAAGCAGTGAAAAGTGCTGAGTAGAGTCTGAGCGGGACGTTCTCCTCCACTCACAGAACGAGCAGCAAACAGCCTGCGTCCTCTAGCCTAAACATTGCTAAACATTCAAACATTGCAGAAACGGGTATAGCGCCTTTAATGGCAGCACTCGCAAAACACCATTAAGATAAGAATTCCTTTATTCGTCCCACAGTGGGGAAATTTCAATGTTGCAGCGCACAGACAGGACAGTAGTAAGAGCACACAGGGATCACACACAATATATACAAATAAGTAGTAGCTATGTTTCTTATATTTCTTTCTTATATTCTTATCTTCGATCTCTGTTCTTTCTATTTCCAAATCAGAGTATTGGCATTGTTTTAGCAAGTGTGTCTTAAAGCTGGGGTACACAACTTTCTTTATTAATTGTTTTTTTTTAAATATATATATATATAATGCAGCGTTCCCTAATCTTTTTGAGCCGTGGCACACCTTCGTCATTGCAAAAAATCACATGGCACATCAGCAACTGAATTTGGTACAAAATTGAAACTCTCCAGCCTTTAGTATCAAAGCAAAGTCATTCTCATCATTGTGAATTTTATAGCAAATCCAACAAGCACAAAACTTCATAATCAACTCAAATTATTATATTTTCACATGATTTTGACCAAGCAGCTGATATTGGCTCATATCCAAGGCACACTAATAAACATCGCAAGGCGCACCAACGTGCCACGGCCCACTGGTTGAAAAACACTGATCTGGCCTCTAATTTCCGTACAATAGAATTAAAAAACCCATTTTTATACATTGGTTTTGTCCCAACAGAAAGAGCCTCGTAAAAGTTTAATGTAGTGAACAAAGACCATTATATACTGTGTTTTTCTTATTTGTCTCTTTGTCTGTTATAAATAAGTTTTCCTTACTTTTAATGACGCGTCGTGTGAGTCACTATTTGATGCTTTGAGCTGATGTGAGCGTGATCCTCTTTCACTTTTCTGTCTGAAAAAGCTGATCTCAAGATGTGAAAGAAGCAAAGCTGTTTTGAAAGAAAACTTAACACGAGTTGGATGGATTTATGGCGTAGTTTAACTTTTAAGAGTTTGAAAGTTAGGTATCCTTGCTTTAACCTGATGAATTACGAATGATGTGTTTGTGTTTTGTCACAGATGGAAATAGAGAAGAAAAAAGTGAAGAAAATCGCAGAACAGAAGAAGGCGGCGGACGCTCGACTCGAACAGGAGATAAACAGGAACTCTGAGCTGCAGAAAGAAATGTACAGGTGAGTCAGGTCTGAGAGAACCAGACTCTAGAAGGACCAGACTCTAGAGAACCAGACTCTAGAGAGAACCAGACTCTAGAAGGACCAGACTCTACAGAGAACCAGACTCTAGACAGAACCAGACTCTAGACAGAACCAGACTCTAGAGAGAACCAGACTCTGGAGAGAACCAGACTCTGGAGAGAACCAGACTCTGGAGAGAACCAGACTCTGGAGAGGACCAGACTCTAGACGGACCAGACTCTACAGAGAACCAGACTCTAGAGAGAACCAGACTCTAGAGAGAACAGGACTTTAGAGAGAACCAGACTCTAGAGAGAACCAGACCCTACAGAGAACCAGACTCTACTGAGAACCAGACTCTAGAGAGAACCAGACTCTAGAACGACCAGACTCTACAGAGAACCAGACTCTACACAGAACCAGACTCTAGAGAGAACCAGACTCTAGAGAGAACCAGACTTTAGAGAGAACCAGACTCTACAGAGAACCAGACTCTAGGGGTCCTCATCCTTAAACTCTACGCTACACACTGTACATGTGTCTACAGGCTGCGCACTTTAGTGAAAACAGCCAAAAAGAAGCTGCGCGATCAGGACTCCGGAGCAGAGTACAATTCTCCAGTGAACAACCTGAGGATGGACATGTCCCGACTCAACCAGGACTCCAGGAAGGTTTGGACAACTTTGTTTTTATGTTTTAAAGTCCAGTCGTGGCAAACGAAGGGAAGCACAGAAGGACAACACAAAGACAAACCCCTATGTCTGCTCTCAGGCGATCTGAGAGGCTGCATTTATGCTCTAGAATAGAATTTCATCTGGAGCCACAAATACTTTATAAAGACGTAGTTTTCCAAATGTTTTCCCAGTTCCCTGATTGTTAGTGATTAGCTCTACAAAGCCGCCAAATTATTCTCACGGTTGAAAGCTTTTCTTCTGGTCAACATAATGTATATGTTTTTAAACCATAAGCTCTTTGGAAAGTTATGACGTCACATGAACATTTGGACCTGTTGGGTTTCCAGATCTAAATATTTTATTGTTAAAGCAAACAGGTCCCTCAGATGTTCCTGAAACCCGTGAATATAAGAAACAAGTCTCAAGTCTCAGTTAAGTCTATATTATCTTATCTTAATTATTAATTAAGGAAGTCCCACTGTCAGAGGAGTCCTGGCCCCAGAAAGAGGGGGCGGGAGTGGGCTCAGGGAGGGTGTTAAGTGGGACAATTGTAGCTGTTTTTAGTGGTAAGGGAAACTGGAGCACCCGGAGGAAACCTACAGACATGAGGAGAACATGCAAACTTCACGTCAAAGATCCCACTTTCACAGTGGAATGATTTTTGTTAGTTATTATAGAAGCTCTAAATGTCTGTAAAGCTCTAAGTATTGCACAAATGCACTGTATAAGAAACATTTCCCTACTGTCACTGAAAAGTAAGTTTAATTGTATAGCACCATTTACAGACCAGGACCATAAAGCACTTCACCATCAACAACATACAAAGAAAAACAGTTCTGTGGGATAAACAGAGGATCTCTTAATGTTCTATTCCAAGTCTCATAGAGTCCATGGTTGTTATATTTCTAATCAGACCAACGAGACCAGTGACCTAAGATCTCGTCCTTTCCTGTGAGCGCAGACGGACGAGCTCCAGACGCAGCTGCAGCGAGAGAGCGAGCAGCGCAGTCAGCTGGAGAAGGACAACAGCGCCCTGAGGGAGGAGCTGTCGAGCCTGAGGCGTTCAGGACGAGCAGAGGGGGAGCTGCAGGAGCTGAGGAGGCAGATGGAGGAGGCGCAGAGGGAGCAGACTCAGGCCGAGGAGAGAGCCAGGCACGAGCTGCAGCACAAACTAGAGCAGGTCAACCTCTTCCTGCAGGTAACCACAGCCTCACAATCACAACAGCAGTCGTCTTGGAGTTGTCGATTCTCCAGCAACAGATCAGAGAATCAAACAGTAGTAGTAGTAGTAGTAGTAGTAGTAGTAGTAGTAGTAGTAGTAGTAGTAGTAGTAGTAGTAGTAGTAGTAGTAGTAGTAGTAGTAGTAGTAGTAGTAGTAGTAGTAGTAGTAGTAGTAGTAGTAGTAATTAGATTTTAGGTCACACGTTTAAAAAAATCTTAAATATCTTATAGAAAATAGATAACTCTGTGTTGTTATCTTTTAGTTATTTTTTGCGTACTCGAAAGAAAGATCCCTGTGAGTCACTGTTGGACTCTTTGGGCTGAGAGTGAGGGTGGTCCTCTCTTTTTCAATTTTCTGTCTGAAAAAACTGATGTAAAGCTGTGACAGGGGCCAGAAATACATGATGTGAAATCTAGTGAAGTTAGGTCCCTCAGCTTTAAAACCAAAACAACAATCATTATGAAACATATCAGAACCCACTCCCAAAAGGTCTCTGATTTTCCTGTTCTCTGCTCTCCATTTTGAAATACACACAATTCTACAACTGCTTCATACAATCCACATGTGAATAAACCCATGGCTCCCTCTGCGTCAGACCCAGGCGGCGTCTCAGGAGGCTCTGGACCAGATCAAAGCGGCCAATCAGGCGTCGGTGCAGTCGCAGCTGGAGCAGAGGATCCGTGAGCTGGAGACGGAGGTGTCCAGAGCCAGGTCCATGCAGCAGGACAGCCTCAGCCAGAGAGACTGCAGCCGCACCGAGCTGGAGCGATACCGAGGCCTGCACGCCGAGGAGCTGCGCCTGCGACAGTCTCTGGCCGCCAAACTGGAAAGGTATTTATTATTCATTTTGTTTCTTTATTTATTTCAAACATGCAGAAAATATACTAAGAATTATTCACAGAAAATAATTATTAATAAAAGGAAACAAGATGAGCGTGGTTTGAAATGGGATTGGTTGAAGCAAAAATGGTCTATTAATCCAGTCACCTAACAGACATTACGCACACACACACACACACACACACACGCACACGCACACGCACACGCACACGCACACACACACACACACATTAACGCCAATGGTAAGAGACAAGACCAAGACACACCAATGCTCTTAGTCGCACAGACAAGATACAGGCCCAAAACACTCACTAACCCCTTCCCTCACTCCTCTTCCTCCACATACAACATACGTGAAAGCCAGATCTCATCAGACGTTTGAAGCCAAGCAGGGCAGGGCCTGGTTAGTACTGTGATGGGAGACCTCTGGTGTATATCAGGGGTGTATAATGTTGTGTTTGTGTCCAGGGCCAATGCTCGTCTCACTGAAGCCAACTCTAAGTTACTGAGTGAACGCAGCAAGTCTCTGATCGCCGGCAGTTTGGTGACCAGCTCTGCGCTCGGGGCTTCTCTGGGATCGTCTGCCGGGGCTCTGGGACTGGACCGGACTCTTGGTCTGTCTCTGCTCAGTCCTGCGGGCTCGGGACACAGCAGAGGGGTGGAGGACTATCTCACTAAGGTCTGAACGTCCTCTCTCCTCCTCTCTCCTCACACATACCTGATCTTTGTGTTTTATCTGGAACCCTGACATCTGTCCATGTGTCGTGTCACAGACTGTGTGTTTGTTTATTGTGTTCAGAACTCACGCTTAAATCTGACACAGCTTTGACACGGCTTTTCTCTTAACCTTCCTCTTTTCTCCAGAGAAATGTTGGAATATTCTACACTATTGCGTTGAGCTCCATCTCCATCTGTTATCAGAAATTTGAAAATGAATAAATGTACAGTTTAATATTCCAAGCCTCTAAGGAATAAAAAAACTTCCCTGAATTAATACAATTCCAGACTCCTATTTACCTTCCATCTTCTTCCGCTTTACCCATTGTCGGGTCGCGGGGGCAGCAGTCTAAGCAGCTTATCCGCAGGAATCCTGAGGCATTCCCAGGCCAGCTGAGAGACTCAGCCCCTCTGGTCCTTCCCGTGGTCTCCTCCCAGTGGGACATGTCCAAAACAAATCCCCAGAGAGACTGGCTGCGGCTCTACTTCGAGCTCCTTCAGTGTGACTGAGCTCCTCCCCCTGTCTCTAAGGCAGGCATGTCCAAACTCAGGCCCGTGGGCCAAATGCAGCCCTCTTTTTGTATGTATATATATATATATATATATATATATTTTTTTTTTAAATTGATTGTGGCACAAAATTGCGTCGCTAATGCAACTGATGAGATGGTAAACCATTGTCATTCAGCCAACGTCAACTTTATTGAAGATGATTGTAAAGTTCAAAACAGTTTGTCAATCCAGCTTGTCTGCACCTGGATGAGTCTATTGAACTAAAGTGCCCTTGTTACTAAAATGTTTGGACACCCCTGCTCTGAGGGAACTCCTTTAAGTCCTTACCCAAAGCTCAGGAGCAGAGTCTAGGTTAAAAGTATCTCTTCTTTCTGATGTGGCTCAACTCTTTAATGTGGATCTTCTGTGTTTCACTCTTGTAGCTTTTAGCTCAAAAGTCTGTCTCTCACCTCTCCTCACTTCAGCCAGACTCATAGCAGGTGTGTAGTGTCCGCTCACCTCACTTTACTGCACGTGGCTTTAATAGTTGCCATAGTTGAATTTAAGGAAAACCCTGAGATGCAAACAATGGGCCTCATTCACGAATAACTTCGTAAGAAACTACTCAACTTTCTTCTCAAGTTGTCCTTAAGTAGATTTCTAAGAAGTCCTCACGTGGGATTCATCAACGCACTCGTAAGCCGCTGAATTGTTCGCAGCTGTTCTCTCAGATTGATGAATCCCATTTCCTCGTAAGTAGAGCGCGCGTGCCAGGTGCTTCATTAGCATAGGTACTTAGCATAAGTAACCGCCCACTAATGCCCATATAAGGGACTGCAGGGCCGTGTGCAGACGGCAGAGGAAACAGCAACAGGCCTTTACACGGAGCAAAAGTCACCCTTTTTTCTTCTTTTACCAGACTGAGAATAAAGTTATAAAATGTTGACTTAAAAGTCGAAATATTATGATAATAAAGTCGAACTAGCAAAATTATGAGATTAATCTAAGAATATGATGAGATTAATCTCAAAATGTTATGAGCTTAATTTAAAAATATATTATGTATTATTTTAAAGATGAATCTCAAAATGTTTTGAGATTAATCTCAAAATATTTTGGACCCTGGGAGGAGATCCAGCGCGGACCAGCGCTGAGACCAATGCAGACCCGAGGAGAGACTGGAGTGACCAGCACACAGAAACCAGCGCGGACCTATAGGAGAGACCGCATAGACTGGAGTGACCTGACTGGAGAGACCGCATAGACTGTAGTGACCTGACTGGAGACAGTGGAGAGACCGGTGCGCAGAGACCAGCGCGGACCGAAGAGAGACCGCATAGACCAGACTTGAGAGACCAGCGCGGATCCGTATGGAGAGACCAGTGCAGACCAGTATAGATCCATGGGAGAGACTAGTGCAGACCCGTATATGGGAGAGGCCAGTGCAGACCCGTATAGATCCATGGGAGAGACTAGTGCAGACCCGTATATGGGAGAGGCCAGTGCAGACCCGTATAGATCCATGGGAGAGACCAGTGCAGACCCGTATATGGGAGACACCAGCGCAGACCCGTATAGATCCATAGGAGAGACCAGCGCAGAGACTCAGCGCGGACCCAGTAAACCCCAGTTACTTAATGTAACTAAGGTTCTATGAATATGTTGCGAAGCCCTTTAGGCTTCGCTAATGCATATCTCTCGGAAGCATCGCTTCCCGCCCTGAGAAGATCAAACGCAGGGCCGGAGTGGGACAACATTTCAGGCCGGGAGCTTTTCATCCATTCAGGCCAAACAAGGTTCTAAATTTGGGTTTTTGTCATTGTATTTTGATGTTCTTTTAATAGTTTTAAGATTGACTGTCAAAACTTTTGTTTTCTTTTTTTTTTTTTATATTGACTGTTTATATAATCTCGGACGTTTAAGGATTGTTGTACGTTGCTTAGCAACGTAACGTTTATGGAGTTTAGTGAGAATAAAGACACACACACACACAATGAACTAAGTGTTCATTAGTGTATAACTATAACAAGCTAATCAATTATTGTAAAAAAAAGTAGTAAGGTAAAATCACATCGTTACAGCTCATATAAAAGGAAAAATAAAAACGTGTATGAACCATCAGTTGGAGAGACCACTCATTTCAACCGGGGAAGCTACACTGGGTGCACTGCTAGGCTGGGGAAGCTACACTGGGTGCACTGCTAGGCTGGGGAAGCTACACTGGGTGCACTGCTAGGCTGGGGAAGCTACACTGGGTGCACTGCTAGGCCAGGGAAGCTACACTGGGTGCACTGCTAGGCCGGGGAAGCTACACTGGGTGCACTGCTAGGCTGGGGAAGCTACACTGGGTGCACTGCTAGGCTGGGGAAGCTACACTGGGTGCACTGCTAGGCTGGGGAAGCTACACTGGGTGCACTGCTAGGCTGGCCTGGCTGTGTAGCCGACGTGTGACGTCACATTTGTTTAATTTTTCTCTGGCCCAATAACACTGGCCAAAGCCAGTGTTGTGCCAGTTCACAGCTTTTCTGAACTAGTTCAAGTTCAGTTCATACATGCTCAAAGTGAACAGTTCACGTTCGAAGTTCTCAATTTTAATTCTGAACTAGTTCAAAGTTCAGTTCATTTTACTTTTTGCGAGATATTCAAATAAATATTTTTTTTCACTACGAGCTAGAAATCACAATACGTGGTATATATATATATATATATATATATATATATAAATTATATATTATATCCTGTACACTGCACAGGATGTTTTGACTCCAATGCAGACAAGATTTACATGGGTTTCAATGGGAACTGAGTTGTCCCATCTCTGCTCATAAGTACAAACTGTAATGCGCTGCAGAACGTGTGTCTATACTTTATGTCAAATGTAAACGGCCCTGTGTCACTGACTTACCCCTGTGTTTTCATCACGGCACATGTGAGTCCAACAACCAATGAATAGCACTAGCATATAGCGCCGCACCGCAAGTACACTGAGTTGGGGTGCGTTCACAGACGGTGGAAACCGTAGGGATTTTTAGTTTTCGGCGGAAACAGTGCGGAGAATACAGGAGGGAGGAACTTTCTCTCGTTGCGTTTCAAAAGAGAAAACAGATTTCACTCAGTTTTAAATGGAAAACAAATTGTCTGCCGTTCATGACACATAATATGAACTAATTCACGTTCAAGTTCTTTATTAAAAAATGTGTTGCGTTCAGTTCAACGTTCACAAAAAAATGAGCGTGTTCAATGAACGCGTTCTTTTGAACTCGTTCACGCGCAACACTGGCTTTGGCCTGGGCCTTGCTCATTGGACCAGGCCACCAGGCAGGGTAGGAGTTTGCAAAGACCGTGAGGATGAAATTAAATAAAAAAAAAAAAAAAAGACCGTGATGATAGGGCAGGCCCAGGCCACCGGGAGATCTCCCGATGCTCCCGATGGCCAGTCCGGGCCTGATCAAACGATCCACCCTCCAATCACCTTCACGTCCTGGCGTAGGCCAGTCCCCTATAAATAGGGCCATGCACCACAGCTCTTCTCCTTTCGAACTAAGCCGAATAAGAGAGGGCAGGCCTGCTGGGCTCGAAGCTAAAGGGCTTTGCAACATATTCATAGAACCTTAGTTACATTAAGTAACTGGGGTTTCTATTTCATACTGTATGTTGCTTCGCCCTTTAGGCTTCGCTAATGCATAACATAGTGAAGCCCAGACCGATGTACTCCCAGCAGGCATGAACTCCGGTGATTGGAGCAAACTCGTGACCCACGTGCTCATACCGCAACCAAGCGGTAGAGACGGAGGTCCTACGAGCCATAGAGAAAGGGATGCTGGGCCACCTCTCCCAAGAGTGCCCACGCATTCTCCAACCTGCAAAGCAGGAAAAAAATCAGAACAAACCTGGGCAGGCAGCCTCTCCCAAGAGCGCCTGATCCCCAGGAGTGTAAAGCAGACTGCAGAAGGGCCTAGGCCGCCTCTCCCAAGAGCGCCTATCCTTACTGCAGAGGTGTCCTGGCCGCCTCTCCCAAGAGCGCCAACACCTCTCCACACAACCCCCCCCCCTGCAGACCAGTTCTCACCGAGGTCTGTCGAAGGAGGAACTAGGGCCGCCCTGCACTCACTCAGGCCACCTCCAGTAGGTAAAACTGCACAAAAGTCGAGGAGGAGGACCAAGACGCCGCTCTGCAGATCTCCTCCACCGAAGTGCCATGTCCATCATGCCCTCCCGATCGGGGAGGGACAAACAAGACGGCTGCACGGAAAAGGCGGCCTCTTGGCCGAAGCCCACGCCCACAACGATGCCGTTTTGTAGGACAATGAGGCAATGGTCGCATTGTCCAGGGGTTCAAATGGAGGCCCTGAAAGGCCAGCCAAGACCACCTGAAGGTCCCAAGACGGAGCCGACCGCCGGAGGGGAGGCCTGATCCTGCGGGCCCCTCGTAGGAACCGCGCAGAGTGGCTACCAAACCCCTTCGTGCCC